TTTTATATAATGATTGAGTGAGCTCTTTCTCAAAAGCAGAAACATAATGGGACAGAAAGTGAATCATGGGTAAAGATGCTTTTCCCCAAGAGTATGCAATGCCCTGTGGTATCACAACAGAGTTGAAGGAACCCAGGGAAATGTTTTATATCTCACCTTCATCCTACTACATGACTGTTTTGATTTTTGAAAAGCCTAACTATGTAAACATATAATTCAAAAATGATCAGTTGAGTTGAAGGACCATTTATGCATTTAAAAAGAGTTATTCTAATGAAAGCAACTCCCATAGTGTTATTTCTCTAATGATTTAAACTGTATACAGAATGACAACATTCACTGTGTCAACGACTTTCAGGAAAGAAAAAAAAATAGTGTTTTCATTGTAGCATTTAATGAAACATGTTGAAACTTTCATGAATTTTTGGTTCATATAATTAAACACAAATAGCCTGAGCGTGCCTTATGTGGTATGTATCCAGATGACAGGTAATGGCAGTGTGACTTCTCTGTGCTCTTAAGTCTATATTATTCACAGAGTTGGATGCAAAGCTCAGTGAGTAAAATGAAATTACTGGCTAGCCTCACATGTTTTCTGTCCTAGGGATAGAGACCTGGTATTCAGTGGCGCCCTTTCCCACGTTAGGTCCCTCCCTTGTCCTCATTCAGATCTGGAGGAAAGAAAGAGGAGGGAGTTCTAATTTCTGATTTACCACATATTAACTCATCTGCCTAATAATCTGGTGCTTATGCCAGTCAATAAAACCCAAACTTGTTCATTTTAATGCTGCAGCCTGAATGTTTTGTATTTTCTTCTGTTTTTCAGACAGTGTTTCCTGTGAGTCCTGATCAAGTGATCTGCATGTGCTGCAATGGTGACATAAACCACTGCGGATGGGAAAGTAGCTGACGCACCTCATTTCCCTTTACCTTTGTGTGGTGCTTCCAGTGGACTAGTCCAGGAAGGTCTATACAACATGACTTTTATCGTGAAACTTCACAGACACTTTCAGAGGACGGTCATTCTGCTTGCCACCTTTTGTATGGTAAGCATTATCATTTCTGCTTACTACCTGTACAGTGGCTACAAACAGGAAAATGAACTCTCTGAAATGGCATCAGAAGTGGACTGCGGCGACTTCCAACACCTACCGTATAGACTATTGGAAGTGAAAACAATGAAGCTTTTCGATGTCTCAAGGACAGACCCCATAGTCCTAGTGTTTGTGGAGAGCCAGTATTCATCCCTTGGTCAAGACATCATTACGATTCTGGAATCAAGTAGATTCCAGTATCACGTTGAAATCGCACCTGGAAAGGGAGATCTTCCTGCACTTATAGACAAAAATAAAGGCAAATATATTCTCATTATTTATGAGAATATTTCAAAGTATATAAATATGGACTCTTGGAATCGAAGCCTTTTAGATAAATACTGTGTAGAATATGGTGTGGGTATCATTGGATTCCACAAAACTAGTGAGAAAAATCTACAGAGCTTTCAATTAAAAGGTTTCCCCCTCTCCATCTATGGAAACCTTGCAGTAAAAGATTGTTGTATTAATCCTCATTCACCATTACTTCGGGTGACCAAATCTTCTAAGCTTGAAAAAGGTTCTTTACCTGGAACTGACTGGACAGTTTTTCAGATTAATCACTCAGCCTACCAACCAGTAATATTTGCCAAAGTAAAGACCCCAGAAAACCTTTTTCCTCCAGTCTCCAGAGGTGCTTTTTATGCCACTATCATACATGACCTGGGGCTTCAGGATGGAATTCAGCGAGTTCTGTTTGGCAACAACTTGAACTTTTGGTTACACAAGCTCATCTTCATAGACGCCATCTCCTTTTTGTCAGGGAAGAGGCTGACATTGTCCTTGGACAGATACATCCTTGTGGACATTGATGATATATTTGTGGGAAAGGAGGGAACAAGGATGAACACCAATGATGTGAAGGTAAGGTTCTATTTTCTCAAAGTGTCAGAGTTTATTTCCTCTGGAAGTTGGGCTACCAAGTAGCTTAGTTTATACCAGGACTAAGGAGTTTCCCAGGATGTGGGGCTTTTATTTTATTAGCAAAGTCAGGCTAGATAGAATTACTTGGCTATCCTTCTCTCTCACCATAGATGGACTAAGTAGATAATACAGTTCTTTCTGAATCAAGAAAAAAATGAAGATTTTTACTGGAAGAGTGTGTGCAACAGGATCCAAAAATGACTTTCTATAGAGTAGAAACCATTTTTTTAGATACTTTTCAGAAACTATCTACCTTGGTAGACCATTACTAATCTAAGATTTGGTTCATTTAAATGTGAAATTAAAGTGAATTTGTCTTAATGATAATAAATACTCCCACAAATTTTCAAGAATTACAGATCTCTTAAGTAGCAAGTTCAGATATTTTTGGAAGTCAACTATGCAGCTCATTTTGTCTTACCATGTTTTTCTGAAACTCTGAAAATTAACATTCTAAATGTAGAGAGCTATGACTACACAAGCATATTTATTCACATATAAACATAAGGATTTAAATTGATTTCAGTGCACATTTGTGGTACACATATGAAGCCCATCATGCAACATTTAAATTGCATTATGTTTTTTACTGTGCAAAACCACTGCCCATAAACGGAAAATAATTATTTAAAGATAGTTTGTTGTTATTATGAATTGATTGTGTTATGTAAACAACTGGTTGTTTAATATTAATGAAATCTAAAATTAAAATTAGCTATATTTGTCTTAGTTTCCCATTCAAAATGTCATAGGATTCTATTTCTGTCATACTACATATTAATTTTTGTATAAATGAGGTTTTTGATACATAATTTTTATTCTCTACAGCTTTGACCTTTTGGCAGAATATCTAAATCTAAATCAGATGGCAAAAAGTATATCTTGAAAACTGTGTTCTTTTCCTGGTCACTAAGCATCAGGTGAATAATAGTGATGTTTATCACGCTGGTTAAATGAGCTAAGAACACCAGAAGAACCATTACATTTTCCTGTAAGAGAATGTGAAGACTAAAAAGTAAAAAAAAAAAAAAAAAAAAACATGATTGCATTAATGTACACAGCTATGATTTAATAAAAAAAAAAGTAAAAATAATAATAAACCTGTTCATATTCTTAGCATTATTTTAGTCTCCTCTTTTTAGCTCAATAGAAATTAATAAATAAGTTTATATTTAAGTTTTCATTAAGTCTTTTGAAATTCACTTTTGAAGGTATAGCTAAATTAGGCCAGGTGGGGTGGCTCACGCCTGTAATCCCAGCACTCTGGGAAACCAAGGCGGGTGGATTGCCTGAGCTCATGAGCTGGAGACCACACTGAGCCAGAGTGAGACTCCGTCTCTAAAAATAGCCAGGCATTGTGGCGGTCACGTGCTACACTCAGCTACTCAAGAAGCTGAGACAAGAGAATCGCTTAAGCCTAAGGGTCTGAGTTGCTGTGAGCTGTGATGCCACAGTTCTCTATTGGGGACAACAAAGTGAGATACACACACACACACACACACACGTTATGACATTGTAAAATATGCTAGATAAAATCTCTGAGTTTTCTGTACAACCCTCAACTCTTATCTCATATCTGTTAATTTTTTTGTTTTATTTTTTGTTTGTTTTGTTTTGTATTTTTGAGACAGAGTGTCACTACGTCACCCTCAGTACAGTGCCGTGGTGTACAGCTCACAGCAACTTCAAACTCTTGGGCTTAAGCAATTCTCTTGTCTCAGCCTTCTGAGTGGCTGGGACTACAGGCGCCCACCACAACACCGGCTATTTTTTTTGTTATAGTTGTCATTGGTTAGCAGGCCCGGGCCACGCTCAAACCCATGAGCCTCAGTGCATGTGGCTGGTGCCCTACTCACTGAACTATGGGCACTGAGCCATATCCATTAATATTACACAAAATACAGAAGTACCGTTTGTATTCTAAAGGTTGAGCCATTTTTTTTCAGGCTTACCGAACATATTTAGGAAGAATTTAGCTTGTATACTTTATGGATTGCTGATATTTAGATAGGAATTTATTTTCTAAACTACCTAAAGTATTTAAAAATTTATGTTTTGAATTATCTGGGTTTTTAAAATACTTTTAAATTACATCTGTGATTGTGTCTCCAAACACTAATTCATGGCAATCAGTTGCCCTGGAGTGCAAACATTCGATCAGTAACTAGTTGTTAAGTGTGTACTACACGGGAAGCACTTTGGGGGATTTATAGTAGGAGTCATAAACCATGGTCCCATTCCTTTAGAAGAAGGGACAAAGAGTGCCGTCAAAGGAAAGCACAGTCTGCATCTGTTCCATGCTTGAAATGGCCATATCACATGCCAGGCACAGAGGCAGGCACCTGGGATACAAAGATAAATAAATTATCTTGTGGGAGAGATAAATAGGCAGTTAGCTTACTGTGTGCTCAGTACAATAGCAAGGGTACCTATATGGATTTATGTAAGTAATACCATAGAAAATACTCCAGTGCCTGCTGCATTAACTAGACTCTATTAACTGGGTGGGATAGGGTTTGAAGGTAAGACTAGGGTGATGCGATGATTTGGAAGGCTGTGCAATGATTCAGACAAAAGATGGCAATTTCTCGAAACTAGAAAATTGGAGTAAAAACGGAAAAGAGAGGACCAATTGAAGAACTATTTAAGAGGTAAAATTGAATGATTTAGTAATTGGCTAAGTGGAGATGAAACAGAATAAATATAACCCAGGACGATATTAGGATTTTTAGCATAGCTGAATACTTGTTAATGTTACCATTGAAGAGGAAGAGGATCATAGCAAAAGTCATAATAAAAATTTCACTTTTATTGAAGTTTCTGTGGGACATGCAGGTGTTTCCCAGGCAGTTGGCTCACCAGAGAAGTCTATGAAGGAAATAGAGATCTCAAGGTCATCAACCAATAGGGAATAGATCACTGCATGAAAGTGTGTGAGGTCAGACAGAGAAAGGATTTATGAGGAGTGATAAGAAAATGATCAAGTGTAGAATCTTGAGAACAATTATCTTTTAGAAAACAAGTAGAAGGAGAAATTCCATGAAAATAAGTTTAAAAGGACAGTCAGAGACTGGGAAGCTGTGATACCATAGAAGCCTTGGGAGTGAAGAGCTTCTGGAAGGGCGTGATCAGCAGTATAAAACCCAACAGCAGGGTCGACTGAAGTAAAGATTGCATGGTCTCCCTTGGGAAAAGGTGAAGGTCACTGGGGAACGTTGCATAAGGCAGGAGCCCAGTTGCAGTGAATTCAGAAGTGAATTAAAGGGTCAAGATGCAGAAAAAGTACGGAATACCAGTGCAGGAATTTGGATATGAAGGAAACAAGAGAAATTATACACTAGCTGAATGGGGGAATGCCAGGGGGACCACCTGTCCAGGTTTGCCCGGGACTAGGGGTATTTAGTGCTAAAACTCAGAAAGTGCCAGAGTTAGGATAAGAGAAGGAATATCAAAGACTATGTGGCCTAAGAAAAGGCTGTGGATTTTGTAATTAACAGCCTATAATAAAAAGAAGTATTTTAATTGTTTTAATTTAATTATTACCACTTATGAAAAATACTATACTTTTTCCTTGAAGTACTAGGAAAACTAGAAATAATGTGAGAAAATTAAAAGTCACATAGACTGTTAACTTGTAAAATTAGGATAATTTATAATATAAATTTTAACTACTAATCACCGCATATGTATTAGCTTTGCCCTTATGTGTTTCCGCATTTAATGAGATTAGAATTAGCAGTGAACGTTCAGGTTTACTTGTCTAGCTGTTGGATAATATGATTCATTTTACAGAGCTTCAAAGCTACAAAAGAAACTGGCATGGCACAAAACATGAGACTCTTTATACCAGGAAAAAGACCAATCCACCCCACCCCCCAAAAAAGAAAGAGATCCAAATTGGTGTCTACATTAACCTAGGAATATTCAAGCTACAGGTCCTAGGTCTTAAAGAACCTAAGAAGAAAACGGGTTAGACAATTAAATATTCAAAAAAGGCAGCATTAATTTCAGTTAAATTGAAGTTAGAAAAGGAAATCTGGAGTGGGGGGATGCATTTGGATTTTGGACTGCTTTTGTGATGTTCAAAAATTTAAGTTTCTTTTGCTCTCAGACCTATTCTTAAGCTTTCTGGAACTAAAACTATGAAAAAGGGGGTTGGAAAGGAAAATGGTATTTCAACCATTAAAAACAAAGCTTTTACCATTAAAGCATTTCAGTTCTACATGAAAACACCTTATGACTCAATAAACATCAACAATCCATATTCTTTTTTAGAAACATTAATTCACTTTTGGCCTAAGATCCACAGTATTTTTATACTTACAATTTCATAAAACATTCATGCCCTAAGACAGATGAAAAGTTAAATGAGAAAATTCTGGAAAAAGTAGTCTTTTAGGGCTTTATCTCTCACTGTCTGTCTTGTGACTATTGCTCCCTCTTTGTAATAGGCACACACTCCCTTTCTAACTTTGACACACTTCCTAACATCCATCAGAAAATGAAGAACCAGTGTACTCACACCTGAGCCACCAGTGTACCCATGTCTGAACCACCAGCTACTCACACCTGAGCCACTAGTGCACCCCTGCCTGAACCACCAGCTACTCACACCTGAGCCACCAGTGCACCCCTGCCTGAACCACCAGCTACTCACACCTGAACCACCAGCCCACTCACACCTGAACCACCAGCCATTCACACCTGAGCCACCAGCCTATTCACACCTTAGCCACCAGCCATTCATACCTGAGCCACCAGCACACTCACGCCTGAGCCACCAGCCACTCACACCTGAACCATCAGCCACTCACACCTGAGCCACCAGAACACTCACACCTGAGCCACCAGCCCACTCATACCTGAACTACCAGCCATTCACACCTGAGCCACCAGCCCACTCACACCTGAACCACCAGCCATTCACACCTGAGCCACCA